AGCTACAGAGAGATCTGCAGATTCCTCCTCTTTGTTTGGGGTTTGGAGGTGCCCAGATGAGGTGCAGCTGTGAAGCAATGCAGGCTGCTGAGGAGCCTTATGCCTTCTTTTGAAAGCTCTGGGGCTCTTTGACCCAGGTGCAGTTTGTTAGGTTTTAGATTACAAAAGGCCAGGTCATTCATATGCAAAATCCTCTGCTCACAGCTTGGGTGGGGTTGTAAATTGGGTGGGGTGGGGGTCTCAGGGAATCACTGGGCAGTGCAAACAGCAATGGTTGCCTGTCAGTCAGTCCTGCCCTGGATAAGTCCCTGGATCTCTGTGTCTCGCGGCCCATGCAGGAACAATGATCGCTGCAAGCACCTCTGAGAGAAAGCCGCCCTCGTGTTCCGGCCCGATGCCAGACAGTCCAGTTTCTCCCCATATGAGTCTGGGTCCCCAAAGTCTCACCCGGAACTGGAGTTCAGAGCAGTTGGGAGCTTTTATCTTCCTCCCGATTGAAAAAGACCACAGCATACCCAGTTTCCAGCCAATTTCAAGCGTCTCCGTACCTCCGCTCTTCCGCACCTCTGCACCTCCTACCAGTCTCGATGTGCTTTTCTCTTTCTCTCTAGTTGTTGGACTTCCACTCAGCCAGCCTTCCCGTGATTCTGGATGATATCCGTTTTGTCTTTTAGTTGTAGTTTTGATGTGGTTGTGCGAGGCAGCAAGTTCAGGTGTTTACCTATGCCGCCATCTTGGTTCCTCCCCCCATTGGTTCTTTCTAAGCTCTTTTCATCTTCCTCTCCAGCCATCTCACTGCTTCTTTACCAGGCTCTTCGCTATGAGTCTCTCCTCTTCCCATGCCTGTCAAGGTCTTACCAGCAGTGACTTGGAGTTCACAGAGGCCCTGTTCCTGCTGAAGTTGTAACAGGGAAAGATGTGATCCTGGCATTCAATCTTGCCATTCACATGTTATTTTCCCCTCAAGGTTTATGAGTCATAGGCTCTGTAATACTATATATTTTCAAACATTACCAATTTAATAGAGTTTTATGGATATGGCTGAGAATCCAGCCATTCACTTTCTCATTTGGTAAAAAAATGAGTTTCAAGTTCCATGAAGATACCTTTACAGACTAAGAAAAGCTCAGCAGGGCTGAGTAGTAAAAGTTGAGTGGGCATGGGGGAATCAAGTGAGACTATTTGTATTAGAATCTCTAGTCCTCAGGAGGCTAACTAGCTACTCTTGGATACGTTATACTGTCTAAGTTTTTGTTCACTCATCTTCAATAGTGAATGGGGCGTTCTCATCTTAAGACGTTGGTAAGATATTACATTTGCAGTACAACACGTGCTTTGGATTTATAAATGCTCAGTGAATGAATGGTCACTGCTATCATGATCATTATATTGCCACCTTATAAGAGGCCACTATAGTGAAATGCTAAGCTTTTCAGAAGTGGGCTTGGAATTACAGTAAATAATTAGCACATCATAATTCTTAAGCACAATGTTTAACATTTTTCTAGTGCTTTTAAGTTAGGTAGCTATTCTTAAAAAGTTACTGCTGTGAATACCAGCATAAGCAGAAATCCTTTTAGCTAGTCTCAGCAATGAAGTGAACCTTTGAAGAAAGGTATATAACATACACTTGTACTGCTATTGTCAAAGCTGACCTTTACATAGATTGGATTTTAGCCTCTAAAATTTTCATTCCATACTCTTTAAGAAAAATCTCATCTGTCTGTTCTTCAACCATTACCATCCTTTTTCTTCTCATATTTTGATCTTTTAGAAATACAGTAGATGCTTACATCTTTACTATTATGAAAATAGGATATTGGAAAAAATAAGCAAGTCTAACTAGTGATGATCATGGATAAAAGGTTACAATTTACTTTTCAAATAGTTACAAGAGACTGGGTTTAACAGGATATAAGAAAATACTGTATTTCCAAGGGAAGCAAGTCATTAAGAAATCTCACATAATTTGATTCTAAATTTATTATAGAAATATTTTTAATAAAAAAAATTGTTAAAAGAGATCCATTAAGAGCTTATAAATTTTTATAGAATTTGAAATTAATATTTGCAAAATATTACACTGTTATTCCAAATGAAAGTTTGGCAGAGTTTTGAAAGAAGAGCTTTCTCAAATTTGAATGACAGCTCTGTGAAGGTAGGGATCACATTTGCCTCATTGATTGCTATTTTTCTGGTGCCTATGATATTGCTTGATACAAGTCAATGTTCAATAAATATTTGTTGGGTAATTTTTTTATTCAGTTATAATTGACATATATATCAGTTTCAGGTGTACAACATAGTGATTCAATATTTGTATATTACAACATGATCACTATAAGTCTAGTTAACATCTATCACCACACCTAGTTATGAATTTTTTTCCTATGATGAGAAAGTTTAACATTTACTCTTATCAACTTTTAAATATATAATACAGTATCATTATATAGTAGTATTTACTATAGTCATCATACTACATATTATATGGCCCATGACTTATTTATGTTATAACTAGAAATTTGTATCTTTTGACCCCCTTTACCCATTTTGCCTACCCCTTCTTCCCCACCTTCAGCAACCACTAATATGTTCTGTCTATGAATTTGATTTTTTGTTTGTTTAGGTTCTATGTATAAATGAGATCATATACTATTTATTGTTCATGGTCCGAGTTATTTCACTTAGCACAATGCCCCAAGGTCCATCTGTGTTGTCAAAAGTGGCACTATTTTGTCCTTACAGTTGAATAATATTCTCTCTAAAAAAAGTCAATTAAAAAAACGTTATTTTAGACCCACTAAACAATATAAGTAATATTTTATTAGCGTTTGCTAGAGATTGTAGATTACAGGTATTTATATTAGTTTATTTTTGTTATCCTATGCTACACTAGTTTTATTTATATAATTTGAATTATTTATTCACAATACTAAAACATTTTCAGTGGCCAGCATGAATTTATCTTGACCTGTTTCATAAGTATATTTTGTTCCTCAGGTTTTTCAAGATTATTTTAAAGTTATACTCTTCTTTTAATCCCAGAAACATTCAAGAAATTTGCTTTTTAAATGTTAAGAATTCAGAGATAAACAATATTAATAGTATGATATTTGTTGCAATGTATAAATTCATTTTCTCATTTCAGATTCCCAAATGCTGGAAAATCCTCTTTGCTAAGTAAAATTTCTCATGCAAAACCTGCAGTTGCAGATTATGCATGTAAGTATAAGTCGTTTTGTATTTTAATGTGTAGTGGTGATTTTTTAAAAACGAATCTTTCTCGTAGTATGAATAAAATGACAACTCATGAGGGTAGCCTTATGAATTTGAAAACTCTTGGCAGAATATATGCATTTCCCATTAATCTTTGAAACTTCTGCTGCCCTCAGCAGTTTCTGGTACTTGTTACTTCCTTTGTTGCATTTACTTTTCTGTTGCATAATTATTTATTTGGTTTAGTTATGATTTTATGAGGCTCGTGCAGGATTGGTGAGGCTTGAAGATCACTGAATGCGAAAGGACTAGACCAGACATAGTGATAGAAGTCTAAATTCTGGTCCACCCACCAAGCTTCTTCAAGTGCAGCAGAGAAACTTTGAGGCCCACTAATTAGATTGGACTGTGCATATTATAAACATCTGTGATTGTTCTTTTCTAAGCTTATTGTGCATAGCAAAAATAATTGTACCTTCTATATCAACAAATGAGAACATAATCTGAATTAACTTGTTCACAGAAAAGTATTTTTTATTTTATACATAATGCTAAGACAGTTTTGAGAGTATCGCCCTTTATTTTAGGCTTTATTTATTATTGCTTTTTTCTTTTAGTTACAACATTACAGCCTGAACTTGGAAAGATCATGTATAAAGATTTCAAACAGGTGGGTATTTTTAAAGTAAGACACTTGTAAAAAAATTAAAATAAAGTAACAGACTTGGTTGGAAGTGAAAGTACTTGCTTTTGGTAGTTGGACTTTATATTTGACTGTTTCTGTGGTGTTCGGGGGAGAGGGACAGTTACAAGATTTTGTTTTTAGTAATGGTACAACAGTAAATTAATAAAATTTTAAGTTATATAGAATATTAAATACTAAGCAATTATAAATACAAGGTAATATGAATATAGCAAACAATACTTAGAGAAAAAGAGAGCATTGTTTGTAATTTTTAAGGGAAATTACTAGAGAACCTTCAAACAAAATTTCAGGACATGAGACCTCTGTAGTGTTCACTGCTTTGTCACATACTCTGAAATCTTTATTCACAGGAGCAGTGTGTGTAGAGCAGTGTTTCCCATACCTTATTGCTATTCAGAATGATTTGGGTAGCTTAAGAATAACAATGATAAGTGAAGCCTGCACTCCAGAGATTTGAAACCAGATCTCTTAGGTGTGGGGCCTGGGCATCTGTAATTTATAAAACCGATTATGATGTGCAGTGAGGTTTGAAAACCACAGATGTAGGATAATGGCTCATAATGCTTATGATCTCCAAAGGAAAACAGGGATGCTATATCCTTTACTTTTTAAGGATGGTCAATAGTCCTCCTGATAGATTATGAATAGAAAAGGAACATTAACTACATATAGAATTTAAAATTTAAAACTGCAGAGCTGTACTAAGTAAATGCCAGCTGAATTAATATCTTTGAGCACTTTTAAGAATTTAGAAAGTTGAAATTCTGTGGAAAGTTTACATTAAACAATGTAATTTATGGAATTCTTACTAGAATTTTGTGATTAATAACTGTTATATTAATCCCTAAAGTTCCAGATTGTTAGATTAATAATTAAAAATGGGACTCTAATTTCTGATAAAGAAGGATTTTGATTCTTAATACATTTTGTTGTAAAGGTATTTTGGCTTTATAAAGATGCAGGGCTAATCACAAGTCAGGACCTGTTCATACTCAAAATACCATGAAACATTTTTTATGTAATTCTACTTACGGTTTTCATGTATTTTTCTTTTTTATCAAACCATTTAACTTTGTATTAGATATTGGTAGCTGATCTTCCTGGTTTAATAGAAGGAGCACACGTGAACAAAGGAATGGGCCACAAATTCCTCAAGCATGTAGAAAGAACTAAACAACTGCTTTTTGTTGTAAGTCATATGTATATCAATGAAATATTCAACTGAATATGAAAATCAATGAATGTAGTTTTCCTAGAAATTTTTAATAAAGTGGTAGCATATGTGATTCCACTAAGTCTGTTTAAATGGGGGTCAAATACCATAATCTTGGTTTATAATATGGGGGTGGAAATGGCATTATTTACTATAGCAGATGTAAGTTTGGCGATACTTGTCAAGGTTTAATTCCTTAAGATTTTCACCATAGTACTGTATTATATAGTGTCTTTTTCCTATTTTATTGGTGGTGTTAGATTATATATAGCTGACCCTGGAACAACATGGGTTTGACCTGTGCAAGTCCACTTATATGCAGATTTTTTTCTATAAATACCTGTGCTGTTTTTGATCCATAGTGTTGGGAGTCCACCAATGTTGAGGGCTGGCTGTATGCATTGATCTATGCCATTTTATATACGGGACTTGAGCATCCACAGGTTTTGGTATCCATGTTTGGGTCCTGGAACTAATCCTCCCAGGGTACCCAGGGACTGTAGTCAAGTTTTGGGGGAGGCAAAAATTATACACTAATTTTTGACTATGCAGGGTGGAGTAGGTATTGGTGTCCCTAACCCCCAAGGTGTTCAAGGGTCAGCTATTTATGACATTGTTCATATTAATGTAAATTGTCTTATCTATACTAGCTTTTCATGGTATTAATGGTTGTGATTTTATCAGAATAATTATAGTTATCTTGACACTTCAATTTCACTTATTTTGGTTTTTTTTGTTTGTTTTTTTTTTAAATATATTTTATTGATTTTTTACAGAGAGGAAAGGAGAGAGATAGAGACTTAGAAACATCGATGAGAGAGAAACATCGATCAGCTGCCTCCTACACACCCCCCACTGGGGATGTGCCCGCAACCCAGGTACATGCCCTTGACCGGAATCGAACCTGGGACCCTTCAGTCCGCAGGCCGACGCTCTATCCACTGAGCCAAACCGGTTTTGGCAATTTCACTTATTTTGTGTGTTTTTTTTGTTTTGTTGTTTTTTTGTTATCCTCACCTGAGGATATTTTTTTCATTGACTTTTTTTAGAGAGAGTGGAAGGGGTCGGGGAGGAAAGAGAAAAAGAGAGAGAGAGGAGAAACATTGATGTGACAGAGACACATCGATTGGTTACCTCCCACAGGCACCCCAACCAGGGCTGGGATTGAACTTGCAGCCCAGGTACCTTGACCAGGACTCAAACTGGAGATCCTTTGGTGTTCAGGCCAGCACTCTAACCACTGAGCGTGCTGGCCAGGGCTCTCTTATTTTGAATTACTAAATTACCAATAGAGTATAGATTGAGAAATTTTTTTTTGCTTGAGAGAATAAAACATTTCAAAACAGAAATATGTAGCTAATCTTATGTTAAAGGCTGTCTCTTTCCCTATTTTATTTTAGGTTGATGTTTCTGGATTTCAACTTTCTTCTCGAACTCCATACAGAACTGCCTTTGAAACTGTATTACTGCTTACAAAAGTAGGTTTTCTGTTGCTCTTTTACTGCATTCTGCATCTGGTCTAATATATAGGTACAAAAGACTATATGAAATGACAATAATTTTAATAAAATATATTCCACCTTTACTGTTTGAAGCTTTGATGATAAAGAATTATCTAAACTTGCTGTCTCTAGTTCTTCAGTATTAACCTGCTCCTCAAACTATTGCAACCAATAAAGCCTTCTTTATTGCACACTTCTCAAACCTTATCTTGCTTGAACTTTTATTCTTACTTCTTAGATTATTTCTCAGTCTACTTTTTATGCTCTTTCCTGTTTATTTTTTTAAAATATATTTTTATTGATTTCAGAGAGGAAGGGAGAGGGACAGGGAGATAGAAACATCAATGATGAGAGAGAATCATTGATTGGCTGCCTCCTGCACACCCCACACAGGATCGAGCCTACAACCCAGGCATATCCCCTGAACCATGACCTCCTGGTTCATAGGTCGACGCTCAACCACTGAGCCACCCTTGCTGGGCCTGTTTATTCTTTAATTAGCATTCAGTTAAGAAAATATACTGATGACTGTCAAATCTGTATCTGATCCCCAGATCTTTTGGTTAAGCTTTAGACCAGCTGCCTCTTTGACATCTTTGATTGCATATCCCATTAACTTCTCAAACTTAATGTGTATAAAACTGACCCTTTTTCCCCCTTTTAATTCTCCCACCTCCTCCAGAACTTACTGAGTATGTAAGCAGGAAACCTGGATGGTGGTCTTAATTCTATCTTTCTCACCACCTGTACCAAGCCCTGTCAGTTTTATATCCTAAATTCTGAAGTCATCTGCTTGTTTTCATCCACACTGTTTTAATCATCAACCCCTCTCATTAGAATGTTGTAAGGCCCTTCCAGTCTCATTTCCCTGTAATCCATTTTTTTATGAGGCAGCTCGAGTGAGCTTTGTACAAGAACCAACCTGATGTTTGTTCTCTGCTTAAAATACTTCGATAGTGCCCCATTGCTATTAGGTTAAGATCCAGCCTGACCGTGGTGTATGAGATCTGTCTGGTAAGGTTGGACTCCTTACCTAGCAGTCTATCTTTCTCTGCCTGCCCCTCTTCCATTCTATATCCAGCCCTATGATTTCTCTGTAACACTATGTGATGTTTCTTATCTCCAGGACTTTGTATATTTCCTTTGCCACTTTTTGCCTATTATGAATAATAGTGCTGTAAACATTTGTGTACAGGTTTTTGTATGGACATGCCTTCATTTCTTTTGAGTATATGCTTAGGAGTGGAATTGATAGATGAATGTTAATTCTCTGTTTAACATTTTGAGGAACTGCTGAACTGTTTTCTAGAGTGGCTGCACCATTACACCATTTTACAATTCTACTTGCAATATATGAGGTTTCTACTTTTTCCACATTAATATCTATGCTTAGATATTAATTGTTATTGTCTGTCTTTTTATTTTAGCCACCCTAGGAATGAAGTGGTATTTCATTATGGTTTTGATTTACATTTCTCTAGTGATTGATGATGTTGATCGTCTTTTCATGTGCTTATTAGCCATTTGTTGTCTTTGGAGAAACGCCTATTCAGACTTTGTGCATTTTTTAATTGGTTTTTTTTTGTCTTTTTAGTGTTGAGTTGCAACACTAAATTTTTGTGTTGAGTTGTAACATTATATTTTTGATACAAGTCCCTTATCAGATACACGATTTGCCAATGTTTTCTCCTCTTCTACCAGTTGCCTTTTCACTTTCTTTATGGTATGTTTTGAAATACAGAATTTTAAATTTTAATTGTCTCATTTGTCTATTTTTCTTTTCCTAATGCTTCTTGGTGTCATAGCTAAAAAACTATTGCCTAATTCCTGGTCATGAAAATTTTCTTCTATTCTAAATTTTATCTGTATGCTTAATAGAATTCCAGATATTTGTATTTGGCTCAAGACACAAATCACAGCTGTCTCTAGGATGTTATGTAAGCCAAAATATATTGACACATGACCTATTAAACATTTTCTGAGTTTCCTTTGTTAATTTTGTGGTGGTGGGATTTATTGCGTTTCAGAGATGTGACTAGGCTCTAGATTACCTAGGCCCGTGGTCGGCAAACTGTGGCTCGTGAGCCACATGCGGCTCTTTGGCCCCTTGAGTGTTGCTCTTCCTGAGCCTTAGGAGTACCCTAATTAATAACAATGTACCTACCTATATAGTTTAAGTTTAAAAAATTTGGCTCTCAAAAGAAATTTCAATTGTTGTACTGTTGATATTTGGCTCTGTTGACTAATGAGTTTGCCAACGACTGACCTAGGCCTACAAGGTAAAGAAATATATTAACAAACAGGTAACCTATATACTAGTAGATTATTTTAACAAAAATTTTTGGTCTTTCTTTTTTGACTTAAAGGAGTTGGAGTTGTATGATGAGGAAGTTCGAGCAAAACCTGCACTCCTGGCGGTAAATAAAATGGACTTGCCAGATGCCCAAAATAAATTCCATGAACTGATGAACCAACTCCAGAATCCTAAAGGTAAAACTGATTCATTCATTTAATGACAGTGTAATGAGTACCTGATTTGTGCCAAGTGATACAATCAGTGGAAAAGAAAACTGACAGTTACTACTCTTAAAGTATGTTTGATGACAGAACCCGTACCATATGAAACATTTGCATAACATTATAATGGAATACTCACCAAGTTTCAGAATGTGTGATGTTCTGTATGAAAGGAGACAAAGAAGAAAAAGATCATGTGAGCTGAAAAGGTTAGGCTTCATGAAGAAGTAAAACTTAAACTGGGTCCTTACTAAGTTATTTGGATCAGAAGAGGAAAAAGTCAGCATCTTCCTATAAAGTCTTTCACCTTAACATATTTCTCAGGTTCTAGAACTCTATTCCCCTAGTACACCGTAAATTTAAAACAGCTAATAGTTCTAAAGACGTACTTTATGTGTCTGCAATGTCAGCTCTGTGGGTCTTCGAAGAAGAACTTGAGTACATGTCTATGTACAGAAAAATAGATGCTGTTACTCCAAAAGGATTTATTTGTTGGAAATTTCTTTCTAAATGGATCACTTTGTATAAAGGAACGTAAAGGGTTTCTCTAGTCTGGCTGGTGTTGCTCAGTGGTTGAGTGTCAACCTATGAGCCAGGAAATCGTGGTTGGATTCCAGGTCAGGGCACATGCCTGGGTTGTGGACTCGATCCCCAGGAGGGGGCATGTAGGAGGCAGCCGATCGATGATTCTCTCTCATCATTGATGCATCTATTTCTCTCCCTCTCCTTTACCCTGAAATCAATAAAAACATATTTAAAAAAATAAATATAAAGGTACTCTCCATTGTCTTGAATGTTGAACTTTGCAGAACTCTCTACCCTATAGTGATGATGCTTTCGTTTTACTGAGTCTAGAAGAGAACTTCTTCACAAACGAGGAAATGTAGGGAGGATAGCAAGTGCCTAACATGTTTTTAAATAGTACTGATTTCTCTGTTTTTATTCCTGGGATAAAAATTGGGGAAAATAAATTATTATTAGGAATAGCAGTCGACACCAGAAGATTCTTTTTCTGCTCAAAAATATTTCCCTGGTGCAACTTACATAATGAAGCTGTCCTTGAGTTACTTTTGGGATATAAATATTCCCTGGAATTAGTAAATAGTCTTTATTCCTTAATGTCATTTGCTTTATGAGATCATTACATCTGTTTGCTAGATGATCTTACAGAAGGCATTTTCAGAGGAGGTACCAGAAGAGAAGGTAACTCAAGAGTTTGTGGCTGTTTTGAACCATCAAAAACAAATTTCTGAGTTTTACCTCTCTGGACTTCTTGAGGGCAAATGAATCTCAGAAACCAAGCTCCCTGTTGGCTTGTCCATTCTCTTTCAATCCAGCCTTTGCAGTTCATGTCAGTATTGACCCATCCCATTGTATGCCACCCCTCCTCCCATTGCCTTGGTGGTCTGGGAGAGGAAAAAGTAATAGAACATCTTTCAGCTACTGTGGAGTGATAAGAGTAGACTCATCTGAAATGCTCTCCCTTTGAATTACCCCCACATCTTTCTCAATTTTAATATGGTTCCTCGTACCAGTGCCTATACTTTAGGGCAGTTAAAGGCCATCCATGTATGGAGGCAAGCTAGCGTATCCCAAATCATAAATTATGTTATTTTTATAGAAAGGTTCTTTCAGAGAATCTACGTAGCCTCACTTTAGCAAACACCTCCTCCCCCAAAGCAACTTGCTTCTGTAAGTAAATTATCTTCTGTGATTTATTTATACTTAATTTGGTTTAAAATATCTTAATCCAACAAATATCTCCCATGTGTCAAGAACCTTACCATTGTCAATAGTAAAAACCAAGGATTCTGAGAGCATATTAGAAAGAGAAGGAAAAAGGAATTAAAAATGCTGTTTTCAGTTTCTTGGTTCACAAATCAAACCTTTAACATAGTTCTGACTTACTTCAAAGACAGTGAAAATCAGCATAGTTTTGTGTGTTTTTTTGTTTCAGATTTTCTGCATTTATTTCAAAGTAAGATGATTCCAGAGAGGACAATGGAGTTCGAACATATCATCCCCATCTCTGCAGTTACGGGAGAAGGAATTGATGAATTAAAGAACTGTATAAGGAAATCTCTGGATGAACATGCAGACCGGGAAAATGATGCATATCATAAGAAACAGTTCCTTAATTTACAGATTTCTAATACAGTATCTCATAGTGAGCCACTCTCAAGGAATGCTGTTACTAGTTCCAGAATGGATACAATTTAAATCCATTAAAAATGAACATGAAGTTGTGTTCGTTTGAAAACTTTTCCATAGAGTATTATGTATTCCACAGTTATTATGAACCTTCTGATATATGCGCCATCATTTGGGAACCATATCTTTATAAGTTGTTTATAGTTAAGTGTATTAATAGCAAAAAAAAAAAAAGAAAAGTGAAAGCTGAAAATGACAGTTTATAGTTTTATAGCCAATCTACCTAAAATAAAATCCTCTGATATTTCTGTACTTACAATGTCTCTAGTGAGATCATTTTTTAAAAATATATGAAAGGATTTCTCAAATATTATTAAAGTGAGCAACTAGGTATTGTTTGTTTTGAGTCTGTCATGTACTTCGTTCAATTATGAAGAGTTCTCATTTTAAGAAAATCTAAAAACCCTAAATTTGAACATAATGTTCGGTGATAACAAAGATCACTGATAATATTTAACAGATAGCAGCAAATAGATTTCAGCTTTTGGAAAATTTTCCTTTTTATTTATTTTAAACGTATTTATTTTATTGATTGCAGAGAGAGGGAGAGAGAATCATAGATTGGCTGCCTCCTGCACACCCACCACTGGGGATCAAACTTGCAAACCGAGCATGTGCCCTGACTGGGAATTGAACTGGTGACCTCTTGGTTCCTGGGTCAGTTCTCAACCACTGAGCCATGCACTGGGCTTAAACTTGTTTTTATTGTTGGGAGTATTACAGATGTCTCCCATTTTATACCTCCACCAGCTTCTGTCCCACCTCAGGCCTTCACTGCACTATTGGCTGTGTCCAGGGGCTGTGCATATATGCATATAAGTTCTTTGGTTAATCTCTTCCCACTGCCCCTACCCGCCTTCCCTTGTCAATCCATTCCATGCTTACATGTCTCTGGACTTATTTTGTTCATCAGTTTATTTTATTCATTAGATTCCATATATACTAGTAAGTGAGATCATGTGCTATTTGTCTTTCGCTGACTTGCTTACTTCACAATTTACCATAATAATTTAAGGTCCATCCATGCTGTCTCAGAGGGTAAGAGATCATTATTTTTTTACAGCTGTATAATATTGCATTGTGTAAATGTACTGTAGCTTTTTTATCCACTCATCTATAGCACTTCGGCTATTTCCAGATCTTAGCTATTGTAAATGACGCTGCTATGAATATAGGTGTGCCTATATTCTTTCTGATTGGTGTTTCATGATATATTCCCAGGAGTGGGATTGCTAGGTCAAATGGCAGTTCCATATTTAATTTTTTTAGGAAATTCCATACTGTTTTCCACAGTGGCTGCACCAGTCTGCATTACCACCTGCGGTGTACTAGGGCTCCTTTTTTTTGCTCCACATCCTCGCCAGCACTTACTGTTTGAACATTTTCTTTTTTAAGTATAAGAGTATATTTTCTTACTTTGGAGCCGATTGGTGTATGACTCATTTTTTTATGGCCTAGTCTTTTTCATTACTTTCACATTTTAGTAAAGAGAAAATAAAATAGGAAGTGCAAACTTTAAACAGTATTATCAATCATAAATGTATTCTTCAGATTATAACTTATGAGTTTCAAAAATATTTATAAATTGGACATTTTTCTTAATGAGTTTTATTGTAAAATGTACATGTTCGTTGTAAAATATAAAATTTAGCCAGTGCAGCCTGGCTGGCGTGGCTCAGTGGTTGTGTCGACCACTATGATAGCCAATAAATTGAAATCCTGTCTTAGTGAATAAAATATAAAGATTCAAAAGTCTTATATATATAAGACTGATTAGATTAAAAAATGAAGTGTCATGATGCCTACTACTTTCAAATGATCACACACACAATAAATGGAAAGGTAAATGTGGCAAATGTTGATAATTGTTGAATATAGAAGGTAAGTATGTGAGTGTTCGTTGTACTTTTCAAATTCTCTGTACCTTTGAACATTTTCAAAATAAATTATAGAGTTTGAACTCTTCCACTTTGTGCCTTGGTAAATACTTGGAGGGGAAAAACGTATTTAAAGATGTTTTGCTAAATCACATTTAGTCGGAAATAGTTACGTGGGTATCCAACTCAAAACTACCTTTAGTTTTTTTTTCATTTAAGTTTTTTATTTATTTTTTTGTGTGTGTTTCTAAGACTTACAACCCAAATCTGGACGGAACTGAAGGTGTGAGAGGAATAGGTAGGTGGGAGGAAGGCGGGGGAGGTGGCCTCAGGATGTCGCTTCGGCCGGTTGCCCAGTGGATTCTGGGAATTGTAGTCTCCCAGGGCACTCCTGGTTAGGGGATCGGGAGAACCTGAGCAGGCTCCCAGAAGCCTCCGGGGCGCTCGCTGGGAACGCACTTCCTGGGACGCTGAGAGGGAGATTCTTTGCGAGGCTCTTAGGTGTGGGCGAGTGAAATGCCTTGGATGTGAGACGCAGGTAGGTGTGGCGAGGAATGGTCCGATTTCTGGGTCTTTTGCATATGTGGTTGAGGGTTTTGTGTAAAATTGGGAGTAACAGGGAATCAGGGACATTGAAAAATGTTACCACATTTGTGGGCATGAAAATCAAGTGAGAAGAGGTATTGGATAGAGCTTTAAAAATGCTTTTCGTACCCAGGAGTACGGAGATGTCGGAGTGTCTTGCGGGACCCGGCGGGACCCGAGCATCTGCAGGTGCTATTTTTGACTCCCCAGCGGCTGCTGGTTGTGTAACCACGACCTGCTCGCGGTGAAGCCCACTCACTGTTGCGGGGATGGGCTTGTGCTGAGAGCGGTGCCGGCGTCACTGCTGCGGTCTCCCCATTGGCTCTGGAAGCTGTTCTTCGCTTTTCTTTCTGCCAGCTCCGGGGTTCCTCGGGGCGCAGCTCGGGGGAGCGAACGGGGTGGGGAGGGTGCAGGGCCCTGGAGGCTTGTTTGCTTTCCTCTGAAGCCCACGTTCTGTCGCAGCCCAGACGTGGTGACCGCACTTAAGATGATTGCTCAGGGATCCCGGGGTGTGTTTTTTATTGTAAAATGATCTCCCTTAACGTCGGGGTGAGCAATTATTCTTGCTACCAACTCAAGAAACAAGCATTTAGAAAATTAAATAATTTGATTGAAATCTCTTCTGTGCAGACTGCGTGGGTCAACATTCTATGTAGTGATCATAATCGGGCTAGTGATAAACTCTTACTGAATTCGGGAAGTTATCGGGCGTTTACAAGTTTTCATTCTCATCCTCCCTATTGAGATAAATAGTATTTGAAAAAGAAATTGCTGAGGCTCAAGAAAGATATATGGAAACATTTCAACGGCAGGTTGAGCCGTTGGTGGAACTGTAAACTCAAAAAAAGTGTTTTAGTTGCAGATTTTAGGAAGCCCAGTGCAGATCAGCTTTGCCTAGTCTTGTCGTCAGTAGCCATTAAAAAGGCATAAAAGAAACAATTTATTTTTTACTTTTATTGATATCAGAGAGGGAGAGAGAGATAGAAACATCAGTGATGAGAGGGAAATATTGATTGACTGCCTCCTGCACGCTCCCCAATCCCTTAACCCAGGCCTGTGCCCTGGCCCGGAATGACCTTCTGGTTCATGAGTCGTGCTCAGCCACTGAGCCACGCAGGTGGGGCATAATGAATTTCTTTTACTTTCCAGACAACTAACTGCACAGTATTTCCTCAGCCCTCTTTATTCTTTCACTATAGTTATGAAAATGATCTCTCAAAATTTATCAAATGTTGATAATTGATTGCCATGACAGTAAAGTGATTTTCATCCTTATTTCTCCTGTCTTTGCAGAATTAATTTTTCTTCTGTATGTTACATGTGTGTTTAAGAATAAACTGCCTTTAAAAAAAACTTACTACCCTCCTTTTCTGATATAACATTTCATTGGTTTTAGATGATTGCTAATTATTTTTCCTAATTCCATGTGAATCCAATTGAGTTTTTAAAAGATATTGTATTAATTTGGGGGCATTTTTCCTATTTCTTTAGGCCAAGATCATTTCTACTCTTTGTTCAGATGTGCATATATTTCTTCTAAATTGATTAAAGTTGTTTTAGAACTATCAAGTACCTCAAAGAGTAAGTACATCCTTTGATTATATTTCTCTTCTTTTTTGCTACCATATATCCAATGGCATTTTTCTCTTATTCATCAAAATATAGGACAGACCTCTCTTGTGAGTGTAATGATTGGGGAACTACAAGTTTCTAAGAAAACCCAAATTAGTAGAAAAGATTGCAACTGTTACCATCAAGAATTAATGTAGCTATGTGTTCTCATATAGCTATTCCTTAGACTTGTCCCTGAAAAAATATGTAGTGATGAGTCTGAATTTCTAGAGCTCTTAGCTGTCTTTGGTAACTTTTTATTGTGTACCAAATTTTATTCATCTTCTCTGAAAGTCATTGTGGAACAGATAGTTAAATAACAAATATAAAGTAGTTGTTTTGAAACAATCCTTATTTGATTTGGTCAGTACTCCAAAGAGAATGCTGTCATTATTGTTATATGGCTACAATAATCTGTGAATGTTTGCTGATAGTTTGAAAGAAAAGTATGTTTCTAGCTAAAGAAATTAAGTAATCCTACTAATAATCATTGCAAACTTAAATTGCTGACCATGTTCTTTTTACAAAGGGCTTTACTATTCATGATCTTGTAACTACCTTGGGGGACATTTTACCTCAGATGAGTATTTGAGGTTCAAAGGACATAGAAGATATCTTGTCCAGTTTGTAGACAATGGTAGCTTTTGATTGGTATTTGGATCTTTGATCCCCTGGGCTGCAATTCCAAGCTGCCTCTCAGATGGCAACAACAAGCCCACACACACGTGTATGTGTGTGTGTGTGTGTGTGTGTGTCCATCCTAGTTCACGGCTGTCTCCCAGCTAGTGTTCATGAGTGCTTCTCAGATTTGTTCAAGTGTGTTCTTTGCTTTACATATTTTCCACAATCTCTAATAAGGGCTTTTCATATGGCAAAAAGAGGTTTATTTTCCCCCATTGCTATTTTAAAAAGAAAATATAAATACAAATATAATAAATTATTTAGCTTTGATAAGCAAACATTAATTTGATATATTAACCACTCTTAATGAAGAGGGGTATATCCAGTGTGTAACATACTTATTAAGTTGAAAACATAAACAACACACACAGTCATCATTCACTGACTCCCTAACCACTGTGTAACTGAATCAGTGTTGCCAAACTTAGATATTTATAGGAGCATAGTTTGCATATAAATACCTGGGAATGGCCTCATTTTTCTTGGGAAGTTTCTAGGGGAA